TTCAGATCAGAAGACCAAGATCGAGATCTTAACAATAGAAGGTGCGAATAGAGGTCACCTTTCGGACCCTATCAGAGTTGCCTAGCGGAGGTTAACGCCAGAAGATTTTATTTCGTTTTATTTTAATCATTTATTCCATTACTATGAACTGCTATAAAAGGGACATTCTTGTACCCCTATTAGGCATTCTGATTTACTGTGTAAGGAATGTAAATTGTAAATTATTAATTACTTCCGCCTACAGCTAATATAATTCAATATTTCTATTTTCCTAAGCTTTGGGCTTCTACATTCCTCCTTTAGGGTCGGGGTGTTTCTTTGGCTAACCTTCATCAGAACGTTCAAAAAATCATGGGAAATAGAGAACAGGAAAGCGCTCATCGAAGGGGGTTTTGGATTTCGGCTGCGACGGCTTGGTCGAGCTTCGCTTGTATTTTTCGACTCACCTGTCGACCTTTTGGCTCCGATGTGGGCATAGGGTTTTGGTTTTTGCCTTTTCTGGCTAACAAAAGCCCTCTCACTTGATGTTTCACAGGTTTCCATGCAAAATCAGCCAAAACTAGCCAAAAATCGATCGAAAATAGCTATGTCGAGAGGAATCACCGCCGCAAGCGGCGGAGCTAAAGCAACATTAAAATTATACGTATTCAAATTATTGAAATAATATTAGATATTTTAAAATATTTATTAATTTGATTATCCTACTTATTATTTTGTTTTACTATAAACATTAATTTTAAATTATTATCTTTTATCAAAAGAATGTAGTTTAAATGACATAATAAATTATTATCATTTAATTTTCAAAAATATTAATTAATAAATTAATCAAACATAAACATAATAAATACACTTATTGAACTTACATTTATATGTAGTTTTAAACACTTGTCTTTAGCATTTGGTTAAATTTATACTTTTCAAAGTAAAAATAGAAATAAAAAGTTTCACCAAACATACATAAGATTGGTAATTAATCAATAATGCTTAACTAATAAAAAATTTCATGTTGGCTGATAATAATTTTGTATTACCATATTGATATATCATATTAATGGGTAAAAGATATTATAAGAGAAATACAATGTTACATGATAATTACATGTTGTAAGATTATGTGAATGTGATATATTAAATATATAGGTAATAATGTAGAAGCCCGAGACTTAAATTGAAGTGAATTTATAATTTAAATGCGGAAGTAAATAATATGTTAGGGTTTATATTCATAATACAGTAATTTAGAATATCCAATAAGGCTACGAGAATGTTCCTATTACAGTGGCTCATAAAAAAAGAAGTAAATAAATGATGTAAAACAAATAGATAAATGTCCTAGGGTTAACCTCCACTAGTTCTTGAAGGGGTACGGAAGGTAAACTATTCACAGTCTTCTTGCTAATTGGGGTCTGGATCCTGGTCCTCTTTATTTAAAATGGTTAATGAAATGATAAGCTACACTAGCCCAATAAGAATATCACACTACTCAGATATGGAAAACTGAAAATTGGTAAAAATTATAAAAATAACTAATGAAGCCCTTGCTTTAATTAAATACAACCTATGAAAACCCATATTTATACCATTTTTTATTTTCACGCATAAGAGAACAAGATATGATAATTTTTCTCTCTTACTTGCTTACTGGTACCCCTGAGAGTTAATAAAGATGTCCCCCTACTCGTGAACCCAATATCCAATTTTAACAATTAACCGGCCATCCACACACCCCGTCTGGTAATGGGCGTCAAAGATTCCATCACTTTGATACCCCATCCAGTGTGAGGGTGAACCATATCTCCCGAACCTTTTTGGTAAGGAATTTACCAGCCCCGTTCAACTGAGGTAACGTTCACAGTAGGGTTCCCTATGTACCAGGCCCGTCTGTCCTTTCTCTAGGTACCCAATAAGTCTTTCACATAAAGATTTTTATCAACAAAACAACCAACAAATGCATACTAATATCTTATATTATATTTTACAGATCAATTAAATGATATTTATACAGATGATATAACTTATCATTGTAACGGCCCCGAAAATTAAAAGAAAATGTGTATATATTTATTCTAAGTGCGGAAGCAAAATAAAATAGATTATGATTAACATCCCTTACACAATAACCAAAATGAATTAAAGTATGAAAGAATAAACTAACTTAAAGGAAATACTATGAATGAATGCTGTAAGGAAAACTAATAAATTCTTTCGCTTCTACTCGCTGTCTTCCTGCAGAACGGGCTCGGGAACCAAATCCTT